TTAGTTTAATCATTTTATGCAAGTAACATGCTGCTAGAAAAATTAAGTAGTAAAAATGAAGTAACTTTTGACCTTTTAAATTTTATTTATGATTATTTTTATTCTGGTTAGTGTGTTGAAAAATGCAAAATTTTTATTAAAACCGTTCATGAAAAAAATGTATGCAAATATAAATTAATTTAATTTAAATATAATCAATGCTATTTCATCTTTTAACAGAATAGAATTGAATTATTATTATAAGTTTAATAATATTGAAGAAAATATAAAAAGTCATTAAAAATAGCAAAATTACATTTCAAGCTTTTAATTAATTTTGCTAGAAAAAAAATGCTACTACTAATAATTGAATTCTAACTCATTACTTCAACACTTCTTCAATTTCATCATTTTTTCGAATTTTTTTGTTTTATGAACAAATTGTAATATTAAAATATTTTAATAATTACATGAATGTTGATGTATTTAAATTTAATAATTATGTCAATGAAGCTTGACTAATTTTAATGATTGAATGATTGTTGTGGGCTCTATTGAATTTTCATCATATATCAAGTAATATAAGTCAATTACAATGCCATATACGGCATCAATCACTTCCAATAAAATTACCTTAGATATTTAATAATAAATCAAAGTTATTTTTATTATTTTTATGAACATCTAATTGAACTTCAGTGATTTCTGAATAATTTAATTGAATAGAAAAAGAAATTAAGTAGCTTTTGAATAATTTTTTAAACATTCAAAAACTAATGCCCAGAAGAAAGAAAAAGTTTAATTTAAAGCGGTTGTTTTGTATGACTTTTTAGGATAAAATTGCCAAGTAATTAGAGTTTTTGCTGGTTCTTATTCCTTAATTTAAAATAAAATCACACGTGTATCATTTTCGTTAGTGGTTACATTCAGATCTTCTCGTCTATTCATGATCTCGACGTGCAAGAAGGTCGTACTACCAGCATGAGATTAAGGGTGGGGGGTAGCAAACGCCGCGACGCTGCTCGGGACCGAACTATGCGTCCGGGCGCTCATCGCGCGCCAGTATCGAACTTACGATCGTGGCGAACGTACGCGCATCATATACGTGGTATGGTGGTCGCATATACACTATTCGTGCACGTATTGTTCTTAAAAAATAAAAATTATTCATTCGATTTGTGTGTAAAAAGTTGAAACAGTTTAAATCAAATAATCAAGTTTACATTATTTGTCAAGTTTCATTTATAACTTATTTTTAATTAACAGTTATAGAAGAATTATGCCTGATTGGAAAAGTTTTGAACGTAAAGTCAGTTTTTTTTTGAGTGGATAAAAAAAAATGAATATTTGACGTTTAGTGACAAGTGAGACTGTTTAACTAGTGTGTAATTAAAATTTTTTGTTTTTCTTGACCACTATGTACATTGCTGTAAGATTAATTGGATAGTAGAATTAAAAATTGTCTCTACATCAAAGGATTGAATAGTGAGGTATGTTATAGACTTTGGTCGTCGAGAGTTTAGCCTCCTATTTTTTCTCTTCACCCATATATCGTCTATATGCTTGTGTACTATTCTTGTTAGTGCATTGTGATTTTTCACTGTGATTTGTGTATTCACCATCTTTGTTCAACGAATAGCCCAATTTTCTACGTGACGTTACTTCGGCTATACATCGAATAACTTGTTACAAAAATTCCTGTTGAAATGCTTAGATAACTTACTCGACGGCGAATAATTTTTTTTTCTTTTATAACAAAAATAAGAACCAATTTAAATTGATTCTGAAGTGAAATTGTTCTTTTTTTCTGTTCGGTTGTATTGGAGTCAAATATCGTGTAAATGAGTATAGTCCTTTCGATTAAATGAGTCGTTAATAATTAATTTTCAAATTACCTAGTGAATTAAATATTCATAAAATCGATTATATTATTTTTATTTTATTCGATACAAAGACGTCTTAATACTTTATTCAAAATGTATTCCATTAGAAAAATATTCACATACATTTTCATCTCATGCATTTTATTTATACAATGTACAAATGAAGTAATTACCCTTACTGTTGTCATCAAAAAATTCATAAAAGATTTTCTTATATTTTTTCTTTCTTACTATTGCTCCTTTTTTTCATCTGCAATGCAAATCTCCGGTAGTTTATGCGGGTTTAAATTGAAGCTAAAAACAAATTATTAATAAAATTGACAAATCTTAATTAAAGTTGTTTTGCTGATTCTACTTATTTATTATTTAATTTTTTTCCACTTTTTTAACTTTAATTTTTTTTCACTGATAGTCTGAGAGTTGAAGCGATGTACCGACGAAAAATTAATTAAAGTTTTCTATTTACTCGTCGAGTTACATGGAAAAAATATGTGTCACTAACGATTTACTTTATTTTCAACTTTATACAGTTTTGAATTTTTGAGAACAATTTAAATATTGTGTACTATCGTGATAGAGATAAAACAAACTTTTTAATGTAATTATCTAGAGTTTCATTATTTCCATAAGTCACTTTTCTTATTACAATGATCATTAATTACAACTCATTGCGTATAAATTATGTAAAATTCGCTAGTAAATTCATAACTTGGCAAAGGAAATTCTTAATTTTACTACCAAAAGAAGGAAACATTAGTAGTATAAAGTCATCAATAATTCACGTTGACGCAGGTGCAAAGAGCTTTGATGTGTCTCAGGATATCTTCTATATAATACCTTCCTAAGATGTAGTCCTCAATCCATGGAGAAAAATGACCCGAGTAGAATTTATTTTAGGCATGCCTAAATACCTATTGGGCCTTATTGGGAATGATGCTAGCGTAAATTAGGCATTCCACCATGCCTGATCAATTTGTGGTAAGTAAATTTGCCATTTCGCACTACCCAATAACTTCCCAATTACAACCTTATAACTGACTGAACGATGTCTTAGAATTCTTTTAATTTCATTATAATACTTACATAATTTAAGTTAAAATTACTTAATATCGATATTATTATTCTATCAAATATTTATTAAAAATTAATTATCAATTTGAAATGATTCATCTCTGTTCTTTCTCTCACCTGTTCAATCTTTTCTTCTTATTTTTATTATTTGTTGCCCTGCACTCATCTTAAAATTATAAATAATCACTGAAAATAATTTCTATTCGTTTGTTTATTTCATAAACTTTTTGTGAAAGGATCTGATAATTAAGTACAATAAAAACTATAGAGCATTTTTCTCCATGTTTCGAGCACACATCTTATGCTGAATTGCAAACATTTAATATTAAAATTAAAGAAAACTCTGGATAGCTAAGTATTAGTGTCAAGTTCATCAATCATCCGCGATAAAATCCATCAAAAAAGTCGATTTACTTTGTCAGCGAGACAAGGCTTAAAGTTTGCCTACAGTTTTTTCGATATGACGAGAAACCATCGAAATTGACTTTTTTAATTTAACAAATACAGTCGATAATAACTGGGTGTTCGTTCATTGTCTAGACTATTACCTAATTCAATGCTACATGAATTTTTCAAGTGTTTTATTGATTACTTTTTTTTTAGAAATTGGATAATAGACATATTCAGCAACATTTTTATTTTAACTTAATGACCAAATAAGTGGTATTTCTTATCACAAAACTTCGCTTCTTAAGCTCAAGATATTATTGCTTGATAAGTAGAACATATTTAGAGTCAAATTAATTTTCATTTTAGAAATTAAAAAAATCCTTATTACGATGCAATTTTGTAGAAATTGTTCAACGATGTGTTAAAAAATATTGATTTTACACTAAAATTGATTTAATCACTCTGAAAACTTTTTGAGTGTAGTTAAATTGCTTTTAAAGAATCTTCAATTTATCAGAATTAATAGCTAATTTTTAATTCATTAGTTCATGTTAAGATCACTTAAGTGATGCTGCAAAATATTATATTCTTGTTTTTGATAAAATTATTACTCATTATCACAAATAATTCATATTAAAATGATCAATTGATGGACCGAATTTTCAAAATTCAATTGATTCAATTAACCCAAATACCAATGTTAATAATGATTATTAACGTGGTTAATTGATAATGAATTTTCACTATTAATTAAAGTATAAATTAATGACATAAATCATTCAATAATTTAACATGGCATCTGATAAAATATTCTTTCTTCTATTTTCAAGTGTCGTTGTTACGCAGAAATAGTTGGAAATATAATTTTCGTCGAGCACATCATTTTGTGTAACAAATTTAATTTACTTCATTGCTCTTTTACTTTTGAACTCAAAATTACACGTCCGTAGTATTTTGTATGAACGTCATGACCGAATTCACTAGTGGTGTTATCGACATATATGATTCTTTTCTTTTGCACGACATTATTACATAAAAGTCGTTAAGAGTCTATTCACTTGAAATTACGAGAGAAAAACTGGAGTAAAGACGACGTTTTCCCAAAGGTACCCTAGAAAAGTTTTCCGTGATTCTACTGGATATTTTTCTCTGTCGTCATGGGATATTTTATATTTATAAAATATAGATATAAAAATGTCACCAAATATATACAAGTTTTGCAAAATAGTCAAAATAAGAAAAAAGAGTTGTGAAATCTGACGCGAAGGGATTTAAAAGTTTTCGTCAAGATACTTTTAGCGGTTCAGAAACGTTTATCGTTTACGTATTTTTATTTCTTCCCCCCCTTTTTTTTTTATTTTTTATCTTCGATTCGCAGTAAGTTTTACACTTGCGAGTTTTGTGGTTCCCAAAGATCCTGCAGCTTTTGGACTTTTGCTTTTGCTTCTCTTTCTTACGATTCACAGTATAAGAGGGTGAGAGATAGGAAAGTATTCAAACCTCTTTACTTTGAGTGTTCGAAGTGAGTCTCTTTTCTGGTTGCAATATATACATATATACATAGTACACTTACGTAACTTGTATCTAAAACACAAAAAGACGTATTTTAAAGCATTTATTTCTTCAGTGAAATTTTTTCTCCATAAAAAAATTTTATTTTTTTTCTTTGACTTTAAGGACAACGCGGGAAGGCTGCACATATAAAGTACATCGTAGAAGGATTCAAAGAAATTGTAAAAGGTAAACTCCAAAGGTTCTGTGTAATGGGTATTACTTTAGACTTACAAAGTATTTCAACTATAAAGTGGTACAATTCCAGTGGATTTGAGTGATTGAAATAATTTTTATTAATTTTTTATCTGTATTATAAACATTAATAAAAGTGTGTGTAAAATCGTGAAGATAAACTGGAGTGTGAAAAGACACAAGTGTTAGTGATAGCCACGACAACGAAGCTGAAGAATTCTAGGGAAGTGTGGAAGAGTCGAGGGAGCAGATAGAAGAGGAGAGATGAGGTACCATCCGGCGGTCATCTTCTTCATTCTCCTGCTCAGCAGTGCAGCAGCTCAAGGTCAGTGTTTCTGACATATTTTTATGTTACCCAATAAATCATAGCTCATATCTCAAATGATATTTTTTTGTCGTGTATAATAACACACACGCGTATCGATTATATAATCAACACGTGAGGATTACTACATTTTCTTCCATGTCAGGGTGGATTTACCGGTCATGCTTCTGCGTTAAATTGCGCGCTCTACTGAGAAATATGGTCAGACTGTATTACACACTTTGCGTTATTGACTTAGTGGTACTTAAATGCTCGTATTACGACAGTCGTGAGCGCTGAAGCGTGCCCATACAATTATAGGTCAACCCAGATGTGAATCTCTCTATCATGGGCTTCTTTGTTGTAGCCTCTGAATCAGGAAACCGAGCCCGATTTTAGGTTCACTGCACATAACTTGTAATTTCGGCACGTGCCGTTTCCTATTTCACTGTACGCATATACATCCAACAATTCAGCCGTTGATCATTGTTTCGTTGAACTTTGTTAATCCATTTGGGTAAATAGAAGTTTTGCGAATCAATTTATTTTAGTCATGTTCTATTCAGAATTAAATGCCAAGTAATTGATTGCTACTTTATTAATATTATTACTTGACATAATTAGTAGTAGCTGTCAATTATTCTAGTTATTAGCTATTTCATTATTTGACACTTCTCTACTGTAGTTAGTTTTTCTTGTTAATTATACATCACAAACTTACGTAAGCTGAGTTGAATTCATACTTTATCGATACTCCTAGATATTAATTTCAAGTATATTAATTAGAGCAAATACCTGCGTTTCATTTTATCTTTATTCTATTGTTAGATAGATTTTTTAATAATTAATAATTACATAATGTAGAAAATAAATTTTATATTTAAGGAGATTCGAGCACTAGAAGAAATTAATCTATAAAAATTTCAAAAGTGATAGCTAATAATTCAAAAAAATCATAATTTTGTAATAAATCAATTCTAATTGTCAAATTTCATTTGATATCAAATATTGTCATTGATTTTTAAATTGAATTTTAACACAGGTTTTCCCTATGCTATACTATTAGTCGTGCACGAATCTCTTTAAATAAAAGTTTTTGATTGTGATAAATTATTCTCCAGAAATGACATAACTTAATTATTACTAATATAATGAGTGACGTATTTTCTGCTAAGAATATTGAAAAATCAATTTAACAGGTAAAAATATTTTTTCTGAGAAAAAATGATCTGAATCTATCATGAATATATTTATCTACCTACATAGAGGTATTAAAAAAATTTATATATATAGTTTCAACACGAAAATTTCTTCGATAATTTTTTTTACTCTTAAAAACCATTTATAGCAGTGTACGTGGATAGCTGTGTTACAATAAATTTTTTATTCCTTGATAAAAAGCTGACCCAATTTGAACATTGGGAGCTGAGTATAGTGAAGTTATATCAAAACGATAAAAGTAAATATCTTTTTCTATTTTATATTTCTTTCATTATTTGCAAAGAGAAATCAATAAGTTCATTAGGTATCTTGATATTAACCCAAAAAAAATAGTTACTGCAAATCTAGTGTTCTCTCGAAGATATTTTATTACATCTACATTTTTCTGAAAATGAATATCAAGATAAATTGATTGTTTTTCATATTATTTTTTTTTTTTTTTCATTAAACTCGTTTCAATTTCAACTATTCATGGCCAACGTATTTCTCGAGACAGCTACGCTAGAACACCTGACAAGTTTTCGTTTCAGCATTGCAAATTGTTTGGCACAAGTTTTCTCCATAGCCATCAAATGCGTTTCAATTTACTCTTTTCACTTTACTTGCATTGCCCTTGCTGTTTCTTTATATATTTTTTTTTCTAGTCTCTATTCTCTTCTGCTCATCTACCACATTGATTGTCTTTGTACATGGTTTTATTCTCTCTTTTGTATACTTTTTTTTATCTCAGTGGCTAGAATACTATCCAATTTTCAGTAACGTGACAGCATAGACTTGAAATTCTTTTACAATTTTTAGACACTAGCATTCGTTATTAAATATTTAATCTTCTTTAAGAGATAATTATTCAAACACACTTTACTATTCAGAGATTTTTATTTGCTACTAAAAATATCACTTTTTAATGGAAATTTCCCTTTCTCACATGCCTGAAAGATAAAAAGAAATTTCTTGCTCATTATTGTGAGGCTCGATTTTTTTAGTCATCTAGTTTTCCATAAAAAGATCAGAATTTAGTAGTAGAAAAGAGCAATTAAAAAGATTTGATTTTATAAACTTTTTTTCGAATCTTTAAAAAAATAAACTCAATTGTTTGACAAATTATTGATGATTTCAGGTATTTAAATATCATTAATAAGATAGAAACATGTTCTTTTGATATTATTAGAATAATTCCTAATTCAACGAGTACCTTTGGAATGTTGGTGAAATATTTGGTAATTGCAGGTAGTTATAGTACGCACCATAGGATATAATAGTACGTGGATTATCGCATTGAGAGCCAATTAGAGCAGGAATGTTTGGTTGAGGTAATGATAATGATCCCAAAGGCAAGTTAAATTCGTACTGGGTGACTCTCAGCAATAATTCACTTCCGATTTGTTGCTTACTACACTGACCCTGACATTCAGGCATAAATTAGCTGATTCTATCTCTTCTTCATTTAACCTCTTATGAAATATCGTATCATTTATTATCAATTAATCAGATTGCAATCATTCTCATTTTAAATATCTGCATGGCTTATGCACCACATTCTGTTATTTTATCGCTAATTAATTTCATTCGTTCACCATTAGTTTAAGTCATCGACTAAAATTTGCTTTGATAAATCATTTTCTTTTTTAGATACTCTTGTTTTTAAGTTATACATACCTATATACAATAACTAACTCATTAGAGAAATAAATCTTATTTATCTTGACTTTTTTCATTCAAATGTATATTAGGAATAAAAAAAATTTCATTTGAATATTTAGTAGCATTAATTAATTTCAAAACAGCCTAAAAGAGTTGAACAATTTTCATAATGAGAGTTTGACAGAGTTCATTATGGAGAATTAATCTTTCCAACAAGTCCATCAATTAACCATGAATTAATATGAGTGTAATTATATTCGATAAAGCTCATTCATGAATAATTATTTAACTACTTGAAATAAAATATACATTTGTCAGTTCGTGAATGTATAAAAATTTGATAAAAATTTTAGTTACAATAAATATCTAAATTTTTTATGATGATAAATAAAAATTGAGTGTAGAAAACTGTCTGTAAAAATGTTATATTTCGTAAAAAAAATATATATTTCAAACTTACTACATCATGCAAACTGAATTTCAGGAAACATTTAACGAGTTATGGGCTTTCAACAATGATAAAAAAATATGTTAAACATAAATTGTTTACGATGCATTTATGGCTCATTTCTAATATTACGTTGGATAGAAGAATAAATGAAAAAGTAATAATAGAGAAAAATTTTCAATAAACTAACAGAAAGAATTCGATTAACAATTTTATTAAGAGAAAGAATATAAAAAGAATGAGTGATGAAATATCACGTTAATGAAAAAAGTCAGGGATTTGGTGGAAAATTGTTACAGTTTTTCATTGAGTCAAACTCTATGCTTTATTCTTTTTCTCTGTACGACAAGTGTATTCTCACACTTTTACGAGGTATTCAACTAATTAAATTCCTCGCAAACTAGACTTGCTGTAAGATCTGATAGATACCAAGAGGAGAGAGAGAAAGATAGGGAGTATAGGAATGCTCTACTTGATTGTTAGATTCCCTTTGCTTTAGTTTGAATCACTAGATCTTTCTATCTATATTTCACGACAAGTAAATATTAGAGTAGCTCGACGTGGACAATACAGACAGGAAGAATCTCTCTTCCTTCTTTGTAATGTCAATTTCCGTTTGGACAAGTTGACTGTAGTAGTTTTACTCAAAGTGAATCAGACGAAAATTAGACACAAAGTCCCCCAATTAATTATATATCTATTTTTCACTAACTACTTTCGATTTCCTATCTTATCTCAGTATAGTCCTTCAGAGAATTGTGCAAAAAGGTAACAATCGTGTTAACAACTAATTTATTGACTTTTTTGTAGAACAGATAGATAGATAAATTCTAAAGCTTTTTTTTTTTTTTTTTAAAAAAAACTAAAATGATAAAAATTCAAAGAATTAAATAATAATTTGAAACTCTATAAATAAATAAAATAAATAATGAAAGGTTTGAATTAAAACTCGGTTGATAGATTTAGAAAATTGATTGAAGAGGAATGATGGTGGTTGAAGTGTCTCTGAGATATAATAATAATCTTCAAAATAGAATGATTAAAATAAATTAAATAAATGATTATAATGAATGAATCATCAATAAATAAATTATTAAGACACTCTATTGTCTCTAGAGTGATTTTTCGTGCGTGTAACTATTTTTTAGTCAGTAATTGGTAATTTAGTTGAGTTAATCACCTTTTTGGCAATTTCAAACACTAGTTTCGAAGGATTTCGTGACAATTACTTTAGAAGTAATCAACGTTCAATGTTAGACATAAATGTAACGCTTAAACTTAAGTACTACACTACACAAAGATTTTTAGCTGACTTTGCACACTCACTACTTTTGAACTCATGCTTGTAAGATCGTTTGTAAGTAGTGTTTGAAATAGTGCAAAATGCGATCTATCTAGTAAAATTACCCAATTACTAGATAAGAATTTATTTTATTAGGAAAATAAATCAATAAATAAACGTTCTAGGGTAATTTTTTTTATGATAAGTAGAAAGTTTTTAACATAATGTTTGCTAATATTATTATGAGAATTACAATAAATTTGTTTTTATAATGTTATTATTCATGTTTACCTATTTATATGTATGCTCAAAATGACAGAAATTATGGCTGATAACGTAGTTGTGGTAGAAATATCATCTTGTTCAACATTATAACAGAGATAGAAATGTAGGTAGTAGAAATGCATATGCCTGGTACAGACATTCCAT